TGAGCATTGCCAGCGGCTCTGAAGTCTATGTGGCCCCCTGAGACCACCTCCTCCCTCCTCCCATAAGGACACTGCTGAATTTTGGGTTCGTCATTCTCTTCTCTTGCTTTTATAAATGCACTTCACACATATGTATTGGTGAACAATGCATTGCCTTACTTTTGCCTATTTTTCACTTCCACGTAAATGGACTCATACTCTATTCTTGTATCTCACTTTTCCCCATCACCACTATGTTTTTGAGGCTCTTCCACACTAATGCGTACAGCCTCAAGCTTTGTTTTCTCTTCCATGTAGTTAGTTCTGTATTGTATGAATGTGCTGTGTTTTGGGTATTCATTCTCTTGCTGATGGATGTTTGGATTGTTTCCAGGGTTTTTTTTTTTTTTTTTGCTATCACAAAGTTACTGTGGCTTCTTGAATAATTCTCTGGAGCATATGTCCGGGAGTCCCTACTCTAGGTACAAACCTACATGCAGAATTTGCTGGGCCATAGAGTTAGCACAGCTTCAGCTTTTCTAGGAAGTGGCTGCTTGTTTGCTAACGGGGTTGCTCCAGCTCACATTCACACCAACAACTGGTGAGGGGCACTGTGCCCCACACTTTTTTCTTCCTTTTTCTTTTTTTCTAAAACTCTTAAAAATTGAAGTATAACAAAAAGTCAGAAAATTGTGCAAAACATAAATGTAAGCTCAGTGAATTGTTACAAAGCAAGCATGTATGTAACCACCACCCAGGTCAGAGAGAGCTGGCAACACCTAGGAAACCTCCGTTATGCCCTTCCCAATATTTACCTTCTCTTTCTTCCCCAAAGGTAATCGCATCTCTCTGATTCAGCACTTTTGTTTTGTTTTGCTCATTTTTGAAAGCCATAGAAATGGAATCATACAGTGTGTGTTCGTTTATGTCTGTCTTGTTCAATTTTATTTTTGTCGTATTCATCCATCCTGCCGTGTGTAGCTTTAATTCATTTATTTTCATGACTGTGTAGTGCTCCATCGCCTATTCATTCCACTGTTCGTAGACATTTGAGTTGTTTCCTGTTTTTTGCTATTACAAATAACACTGCTATGAAAATGTTAGATATTTCTTGGTGCAACGTGCACTAGTTTCATATGTTGCATATGTAACTGTGAGTGGTACTGCTGTGTTATAGAGTAAACACGTTCAACTTTAGTAGATAATGCCAAAGCATTTTCCACATTCACTCTGCTGAGTTGCCCTTCCACCACCAGCACTATGTGAGGGTTGCTTGTGCCGATGTCCTCACTGGGGCTTGGTTTTGTTAGTCTTTTTCATTTTAGCTACCAGATGGATATGTTAATGGTTTCTTATAGTTTTAATTTGCATTTTCTTGATATGAAGAGGTTAAGCACATTTTCAAGTACTTGTTGGCTATTTAGACATTCTATTTGTTAAGTGCCTGTTAAGTCTTTTGACCATATTTTTCTGGGCTATCTGTTTTTTGGTTTTTGTTTTAATTTTGTTTATTAATTTATAGAAGTTTTAACAAAGGTTTTAGACAGGAGTCCTTTTTTGGTTGTTCACCTTGCTGATTCTTTTCCCATACCATGGCTTGCCCTTCTCACCCTGGATGGCATCTCCTGCTGGACTGAGGTCCTGGAGTTTGGTGGTCCTCAGAGCTATGCAGCTCTGGTGCTCTGTTGCCATCTGGGGCTGCGTGTTTGCGATTGGAAATTAGGTGCTCATCAGATTTAGGAAGGACAGGGAAGTGGTCAGAAGGAGACCACCTAGGCAAGGGAAAATTACTCACTTTCCACTGTGAACTTCCAAATGTAACCTTTCACAACTAATGTGTTCCCACACCGAATGCAAAAAAAGGGTGTGCTTAAAGCTGAACCTGAATGCTAAGAATAAACGATGTGTGGCTGATGAAAAGGCATGGACGTTAGACCAGTACTGCCAATGGCTAGCTCTCTAGAACAGAGGAGTCCTTACTCGTGTTTGGCAGAATGAGGGCTTTTCAAGAGAAGTGGGAGGGTCATCCCGGAGCAGAGCTGATCAGCTGCTCTGGCTTTGGTCCTGGTTCACTTTGGCCATGGTCTGGGTCACTGAGGCTGAAGTTTTGCATTAAGGCCACCAGAGTGGGTTCTGCATAGTAAAGTGCTGGATAGCACAGTTTCAACTGTTTTGTCCCTAGATAGGGAGTGACATGAGGGTATAAGTAAATGGGGGGAGGGTGAGCGAGAGAGAAAGTGCCCAATAATATGTTTTCAGTAATTATCTGTATGGTTTATTTTTTGGCAAAAGGTAAGATATTACTTCAAGAACTTATGAGAGAGCTGTGGAGAAATACCTGTGTATTGAGAAAACTTTCAAAAAATCCCTTTCTCCTTCCTGTAAATATAGTTGGTGAGTTTCTTGAGTCTTTTGTTAGTTTATCAAGAGGAAAAATAATTATAATGACTGTGTCTTGAAAAGAAAAGAATTGAAGAAATGGCCCAAAATAGGAATTGTTGGATTAAAAGGGCTCACACACCACTGATCAGGACAAATGAATAAAGATGCTCCTTATATATATCACAGTGAAATTCCAGAACCCTGGACCTGAAGAGGAAATCCTGAAAAGCTTTAGAAAGGCTTCATTTTCCTAAAGCAGGTATTTGAATGGATTCCTCAGGAGTATTCTGTAAAGGGTGAATTTAAAAATGATATTTTCTATTAAAAGAAAAAGTAGCATATGTGGCAACCTTCCCTGCCTTCTCCAGGTCTCTATGGATAACAGAAAAAGCACTGGGAAGGGCATGCCGGGAAGACTACCATCGTTGCATCAGATGCCCTGAGATATCTCTGGAAGTTAGGAAGCAAAGGGACCCAGACACGTACCCAGGATGGGTGTGGTTCTTTGTGCTGCGGGCAACTCGTGCACAGAGCAGCCATCACAGTGAGTGGACATGCCTTTGGAGCAATTGGACAACTTTGACCTCTTCCTCTGGGTCCCTTGTGCTAAGTCACGGGCAGCAGGCTTGAGCTGGAGGTACCCTGTGTGTGGGCAACACCCAGAAGGAACTAGAACCTTCAGCCCCAACTCAAGTTACTGATACACACTCTTCCCACGTGGCGCATACCACTCTTCCCTGTAAGCTCTGGAGGCCACTGCATTAAACAGATGCATCAAATGCAAAGATGAGCATCCAACCAAGAATCACCAGACAGTTAAGGAAACATCCACTCATATACCACTCTTCCCTGTAAGCTCTGGAGGCCACTGCATTAAACAGATGGATCAAATGCAAAGATGAGCATCCAACCAAGAATCACCAGACAGTTAAGGAAACATCCACTCAGTGAATGAGAGACTCTGAGCCAGCACACAAAGGACCTGCACCAAGAAAGCCACATTAATGGAGCAAACAAGAAATGAAGTGGTAATCCTCAGAGGAATAAGAGAAACTTATGACTGTGGAATAAGGAGAGGCTGCTATTTCAAGGTCCAAATGGAAATTATATTGAAAATAAAATATTTAATTGTTTTTTAAAAAATACTTATAAATGAGATGAAAAGCAGAATGCACATAGCTGAAGAATAAATTAGTAAGCTGGAAGTTTGAATTAAGAAATAATTCAGAATATAGTACCAAAAGACATATGAAGAATGAAAAAAAGGTTAAAAGATGTGGAGGATAGATCTAGGAGTTTGGAAATCCATTTACTAGGACCTCTCAAAGAGGAGAAGAGAGAGTGGTCGGGGGTGAGGGAGGAAATGGGGAAGGGGAGGGAAGAGTCAAAGAAATGATCAAAGAAAGATACAAGTTGTTGAATTAAAAGGGTCAACACAGTGATGATTGTAATGAATAAATAAGGATGCTCCTTGACATATGAGACCAAAATTTTGGTACATTTAGGGGTAAAGAGAAGATCTTGGGAGGCTTTAGGGAGAAAGCTGATTTAGAGGCGTGACGACTCAGCTGTCTTGAGAGAAGTTGGGGGGGGTAATCTATCTCTCAGGAGGAGTTTGGAAATAAATTTAATATTGGAAATATAATTTTACACTTTGAAAATAAAAATGAATTCCAGTTGTTTTCCATAGTAAACTCTTCTTGGTTGTTAGAAATATATATAAGGATAGTTCAAAAAGTTCATGGAAAAATAAAATTAAAAGATAATCTTTCCATGAATTTTTTTTTAGCAACTCTACATTCTTCTTTAAATCTATTTTATTTTATCAATATACAATGTAGTTGATTTTCGTGTCCCTTTCCCAATTCCTCGCTCTCCCCTCCCTCTCCCCCGTCCCACCCGTCAACATCATATCTGTTCACGTGTCTCCGTGAACTTTTTGAGGTACTCTCATAATTATCCCCGGGGAATGGTTCAGATTCTCTAACATACATGTGGGATATTAATGTCAACCAAAGTGGGGACTTGGTAATGTTGCGCGATCCTGGTTTAGAAGTTAGCCCTGAAAAGGCTTCACGGTCCAGGGCTGAGGCCAAGACCTTGTTTACCACCCAGGAGAACAGCACTAGGACTAGTGGTTTAGATTTTCTTTCAAAATCCAGGGCTCTCCATGGAATGGTTGACAGTTCTTTTTGCCGGATGGCTCTGTTTGGGCTTGTTGATGGAGTTAACAGGATTGCCCCGTTTCTACCCTGAGCGGGAAGGAATGCCATTTATCCGGGATAATCTTCTTTAAAGAGTAGGAAAGAACAGATGCTGAGATTTATTTCATATTAAGATTGAGTTTGCAAGGGCCTACTTATTGGTAACTTGGTAACCTTGATTAACTGTACGGGTCACAGGAGTACTCAGAGTACCTGTGGACTGATTACGGAACAGTTAGCTAGAGAACATGAGCTCAGATTCCTCAGCAAAGGATCCTCATAGTGGGAAATAATCATCAGTATTACTGATTACTATTTATGTAGGGATTTTTCTCTTTATTTCGTTTAGAATATCGTATTTTATTGTATGAAGGGACTCCATGATTCTATGATTTTTCTGTTTCAACTGCCTAAACTTTTCTTGTGTGATTTTAGAGGCCAGAGCCCACCGGTTGCTGAATTCAACTTACTCCTGAAAGCTCACACTTTGGAAACCTATGGGGTGGATCCTCACCCGTGCAAGGTAAGTGCCCCACATGGCAGGTAACCCTGTAGTGATTGATTTGGCCCCAAGAGCATTAATTGGTGGCAGAACCCTCTTAGGAGATTTCCACAGCCTCATCACAACCCTTAAATGAAGGGACAACAGCGGGCTGTAGCCTCATGTTTTGGCAGGTGATTTTCTCCATTGGTGTCTTCCAATTGCTGCCTAATTGCTGTGTAGTAGCCACATTTTCCTAAATTAACATACATGGATTGATTCATTCATTCATCAAGTGGATGGGATGGTTTCACTCCGAGAAGTTACAGATCCTGACAGATTTACTTTCAAGGTCATTGCCAGCAAGAATGCAGTCCTTAAAAATCAGAAAGTGGAAGAAAAAAAGAAAGATTTCAGATTACATTTTGGCATCAGGAGTGCTTGTTTGCCTTTTTTACTTGTACTATTTGACGGTATTTCTCTCAAGGGTGGAACACAGACCCATTTCTATCAGAATCACCTGGGGCCCACCTCAGAGCAACTGAATTGGAATTCTGGGGGGTGCAGCCTGGGAAATCTGCCTTCTTATCAAGCTCCCAAGTAGATGCTTATGTGCACATTTTCCAGAAATGTTTTATGCAAGCAGTGTTTTCCTTTACCTATCTTAAACTAAGTATGCATCGGCCAGACACTAATCCTGTTCCTAAACTAAGCATTTGTATTAGCCAGACTATTAAAGTTTTTGAGTTATACTAGAACATTTCTTTCCCCAGGTGGGACCCTCTAATATGAGGGTACTTCAAAAAGTTCATGGAAAATGCATGTTATCTTTCGATTCTGTTTTTCCATGAACTTTCTGAAGAACCCTGTAGTATTTGGCAAAGTACTGGTCCTGTAGCTCTCGGCGCAGGCTGCTCATTTGAAATACCTGGGGAGCTTCATGAACTCCTGTGGCTGAGAACACTCCCCCCCCACCTGTTATGGCAGGATCTGTGGGGTGAGGACCCGCCTCCCCTGTTGATTCCAGTGTGCAGCCAAGGCAGAGAGCCAGTGGTGCTTGCCCAGATTGGCATATGTGTCCTTTTGTTCTGCCCACGTGGTTGCTTTAGAATAGTTGCCAGCCGCCCTTTCCTAGTAATGGTATTCATCAGTTTATTCCAGTGGTGCTTGCCCAGATTGGCATATGTGTCCTTTTGTTCTGCCCACATGGTTGCTTTAGAATAGTTGCCAGCCGCCCTTTCCTAGTAATGGTATTCATCAGTTTATTCCATAGAGTGAATTAGATTTTATCCAGAGATTTGAGCTCCTCTGTTTATTTATTTATTACTTAGAGACTGACTTGATTTTGTTGTTGTTTTTGTTGTTCCTTGTCCTTTATTTAATGTATCCATGAGATGTTTAGTTTTTTTGTCCTAGGCTGGAAGCAAAGTAGGCTTTTCTGGATGTATTTTTATACTTACATTGCTAGAAATTTTGTGTGGGGTTAAATCAAGTTAGATTGGATGCTCAGGGCTTTGGTTTCATCACATTAGGGTGCTAGTGGCAACCAAGAACAGTTTACCTACATTAAAGAGCAGATCTGAGAACACAGGCAGCCCCAGAGACACTTGTAAATAGACACAGTGGTTTGGGACTACTCTGTGTTTTCCCAGGAGGTTCCTGGATAGGCAGAAGGTCCATTCCTCAAAGGGAATAGCTATGTGTTCCTGGACCTCGCCCAGTTTTGGAAGTCCTGCTCTTTGAAGTTCCATCTTAGAAGTTAAGTTTATTACTGAAGTCGTTGGAATTAACCTGAAAGTAACACAGGGTGAAGATGAATAAGCACATCATTTCTCATTTATTTTATTTCCTCAATCCAAACAGTTTCTTTTTTCCTATTTTTTTCAGGATTCAACAGGCACAACAACATTTTTAGGATTCACTGCTGCAGGCTTTGTAGTATTCCAGGGAAATAAGAGAATCCATTTGATAAAATGGTGAGTGTTTCTTTGGAAAACTGGCTTGCCATTTTTCTTAATCTTGTTTTACCCCCTCTCCACTTTGGCTTTTTTGGAAATGTCAGGAAGAATGCCTAGTATCTACTTCTTTGCCTTGGGGCTTTATTGTAAAGTGATTTATCATCTATAAATGAAACCTGATCTAGGTTGCCCTTAGTGGGGAATAGGATTTGTCAAATTGAGGAGTCAACTCAGGAGACCTGGGCTCAGGAGCTCTGCCCCCAAAGAGAAGGCTTCCAGGGAATCCCCCCAGTAGCTTCTATGACTATGGCCAAAGAGTGGACATGGGGTGGACCAGGGTGGGGTTAAGGTGTAAGTTCCCTTGAGCCACTCAGGACCCACTGTCTCCACTCACTTCTCTCCATCTCCTCTTTTGCTGAGTCCTTGGCACAAACTCACCCTTTGTTATCTGGTGTATCAGTGAAGGTGTTTTTGGCAAAAAGTTACAGGACTGTCTACTCACAATGGCTTACAAAAAGAAGCACTGGTTGGCACACAAAGCAGAAGTTCCAGAAGTGAGGCAGTTCCATGGTCTGTTAACTGCTGGACAACACCCTGAAGGATTTAGGTCTCCATTTTCTTCTCTGCCATCCCAGGGCGGTGGCTTTGTTCTAGGACTTGTGCTCCTAACATGGCTATGCATACAACTCTGTCCTTCGTGTCTTCACGCAGCAGTGCCCAGAGCCTGGATGAGGGCAGCCCTGTGCATGTGTCTCCCAAAACAAGGACAACTTTTTCAGAAGCCATCTAGGAGACTTTCTGTGTATCTAATTGGACAGAATTGGGTCACATGTGCCTACTTAAACCAGTCCCTGCTGAAAAGAATGGGCCTGGGTTGGTCCAGTCAAGGTCTGCACACTTGGGGCTGGGAAGAGCATGCTGTGCATGAACAGTGACCTCGAGGAAGGATGAAGCTAGGCGTGTCAGTAAGGACGAGGGAGGATGCAGTGAGGGAGGTGACCAGCAGTGCCCCCTGTGTCCAGTCTCAGGGCAAGATGGATTTGGTAAAGCGTGGGGAAGGCTGAACCTTACATGTGCACTGGAATATTATCAAGGCTTGCTCTTGCCCATGCATCTTGACTCAGTTCCCTGTCTGATGGCCCCTGACAGGCTTGTCACCCCTGAGTCTTACTGGCTTGTGGGCTCAGCCTGTGTCCTTGGGTCTGAAGTTCTTACCTATAGGCCAGTGGCCATCCTCAGACCTGGGCTGGAACTTACCCTCCCTGGCACTTACCCAAACCTCAGTTTCATGGTTCTATTAGCATCAGCATTTCTCCCAGCGCCTCTTTATCTGATCCCTTTCCTTTCTCAGCACCAGCCTTCCTTCCAAGGCTTCTCTACTCCATTAGCATCTGTCAGCTCTCTGTACCCTGCTCCCTACATCTGCTGTATTTTATGGTCAACCTTCCCTCTCTAAGACCCCAACCTCTCTGCATAGCTTCCTTGCCCTCTCTATTGTTGTCTTTTACTCAGTTCATACTTTCAGCCCCTCTCTGTGCCCGCTTGTTCTCTTCTTCCACAATCAGCATTCTCAGAACTCTATTTGCCTTTAATGCGTCTCCTAACTTCCCTGAGCTTGAGCGTTCTCATTCATGAAAAGGGGATCAGTTATGTCTGGCTGCCTCAGAGGGAGGGGAGGAGATGGAGAAACAAATGAAATCATGTGTGTGGAGCACTTTGTAAATTTGGTGTGATTTGTGAACCATCGAGCATCATATACATTTAACATGGTGTGCTATCCAGTTTTCTTCTCTGTATTTTCAGCACCTTGCAAAGAAGTTCCAATGTTTTTTTTTGTCTTTTTTCGTGTCCGGCAATGGATCGCAACCCTCAGTGTCGCACCCGTACCGGACCGGGACCGGCAACGGGATTGCAACCCTCTGCGTCGCTCCCGCCCCTCGCTCAGCCAGTGAGCGGGAACCGGTCTGTATGTGGGATCCAAACCCTCGGCGGGAGCGCCACCACGCTCCCAAGCGGCGCACTGTAGCAGTGCGCCACCGGGCCGGCCCCCAGAAGTTCCAATGTTAATCACCTTCAGTTTATTTCAGAATAGCTTCCCTAGGGATTTCTACTGACTTTGGGGAACCTGGGTAATTTGGGGACTTCCCAAATCCTACCCTAGGACTGCAAATGGCTTGGGGGTCCTGAAGGGTGTTAGATCTTCAGGTTTCTGAATTGCATGAGCCTGGAGTAATCGGGTTAGAACCTGACATGTCTCGAGTGCAGATTGATTGTAGATCTCCCACTCTGTGGGCTTTCTTATTTCCTGTGCACCCTGCAGAGTGGAGATGGATTGTCTCTGGACCATTTGTTTCTGGCTTCTGCATCTTGTCTAAATCTTGGTGTTCCTGATGGGGTGTTGATGAAGACCCCATCCTCTGCAGCCTCTGTTTAGGCACATGTGTTGTAACTGCCATGTACGTGTTACTAAAACAAATTTTCCTTCCACATTAATCCTAGTTTGTTTGTTTGTTTGTTTAAAAAAATCCAGTGAGTTTGTCACTCTTGCAAATCCTCTAGCTAAGTTAAAACAGCTTCATGTGACCTCACTGTTCTTTTTTCCCCAGGAAAAGCTCAGGGGCATGAATTCCTAATCCCAGGAATTAGAAATCTCTTCTCTTTACACACATCTTCTCATCAAGGAGGTGACCTGGAGTCTACATTCCAGACAGGTTTTAATCGAGCAGCTCCTTAAGATGAAACCTAAAGTCACTCTTTTGACCATAATTTGTCATTCATCAAGTTGTTCTCACAATTTTGAGCTTCTCAATATACGAGATCTTCAGAAAATCCATGGAAAGATGCATATTATCTTTTAATTAAAATTTTCCATGAACTTTTGGAAGTACCTCGTATGAAAAACAACTCTTTTGTAAACAGGGAGAACAGGAAGGAAAGTTTTGCAGTGTGATGTATGTGCTTCTTGGAGATGTGTAAGGATGAGAAAGTCAGTTACTGTGAATCTGTATTATTTTATTGACTGAATTTGAAAAAACCACATTCTTCCTGCCTTACAAAGTGGGCTGGCCAGTAGATGTTGTTTTGGTCATTAATGTTCACAAACAGTCCAGAGCTCCTTGGAAGAAAGACGCAGCTTAACTGTTCAAATATGGAATAAATAATTCTGAGCTGCCTACGGATCCTCTCTTAATTCACTTGGGGCTTTTTGCTGCTCATTAGACCTTCACCAATGACAAGACAATCTCTTGACGCATTGCAGTCTGCTTGGCATTTGCAAGTCAGCAGGATTCCTTCGGGAAAGCCAGGTACCTTGGTTAGCTGCCACTTTTTTTTTCCTTCTCACCCAGAGATTTTCTTTTCTTAGGCCAGATGTCTGCAAATTGAAGTTTGAAGGGAAGACATTTTATGTGATTGGCACCCAGAAGGAGGTCAGATACTGCTTTTCTAACTACCCATTGTTATGTGTGCATGAGAGAGGTTCAGGAATAAAGTGCATTCAGTATTGTAGCCCCTGGAGCCTGTGACTTTGAAGTGTGTGATGATAATGGAAACTGTATACTGCAGACATTTTAGAGGCAAATAAACAAACACTGGGTTTGTGCATTTGAGAAGAAAGTCAGTAAGCAATGCTGATTGTACAGCCCTGTGTGAAAACTAGACTGGGACATACCAGAGAAGTAAAAGATGGAGCCTTTCCCTATCTCTTTGTGCCATGACACAGATACATGGAACAAATAAAGAGTACTTAAAAAGCTAGACATGCGCCAGCGCTGGTTAGCTTGTTATAAACAGAGTTTGAAAATCCTGAGAGTCTTAAAATGAATTACCAGACATAGTTGTGGGTTCGCTGGGGAATGCATCGGGGAGGAAGCCATTACCGAAACATTCTTGACCCTAGTTTTCGGCTCAAGTACTAGTTATTCAAGGATGGCAGATAAGTTTTTAGACTAATCTGAGTCTGACAGAGATGGGTGATGCCTGGATTGTTGACAAGGATTGTGTGGCCACTTTTTTTTTTTTTTTTTTTTCAGAAACAGGGCTTATCAAGGATGGCAGATAAGTTTTTAGACTAATCTGAGTCTGACAGAGATGGGTGATGCCTGGATTGTTGACAAGGATTGTGTGGCCACTTTTTTTTTTTTTTTTTTTAATCAGAAACAGGGCTTAGATAGGTTGGTGATGTCTGCAAGGGGTGGCGGAGTCCCATTTCAACACCACTTTAAAGAACATAGTAACGTGTTGAGTTACTTCAAATCTGTTTGGTAGAAGGCGAGATACAACTAGGTAAATACTCGAAGGAAAACATAACCTGTGTTTAACATACCATTTCTTCTTTTGTTATTTTTTTATTAGAAAAAAGCCATGTTAGCTTTTCATACTTCAACACCAGCTGCCTGCAAACATCTTTGGAAGTGTGGTGTGGAGAACCAGGCCTTTTATAAGTAAGTAGCATTTATTCATTTAATCATACGTTTTAAAAGCACCCATGGAAGCCTTTAAGTTTTGCAAATGGCTGCATATTCATTTGATTTAATAAAGTTCTTTTTATTGTATTTAGGTGAATTATCAATTTGGTGCATTGTTCAGAGTAACTCCCAGCCATCGTTGGCCTGACTAAGTCCTGAGCTCTATGTTAGGTGTTTCCCATAAAATCGCTCTGGGCTATTTTGTTCATTTGTTTTGTTTTTTGAAATTGATTTTCCATTAAACAAGTCACAGAATCTATTTTTGCCCCCCAGAGCAGACCTTGAAATAGAGTTTGGTACAAACAGCTTATTTGGGATGTAGTCAGTGGACATACCAGCAGGGGAGTGGGGAAGCGAGATCAGGAAGCAGTCCCTACGGTGTGCAGCCGGCCCTGCTCTGCCAGGGGCACTGGGAGACTGTATAACCTGCCTCAGTGTTCTCCTGCCAGTGGGCACAGAGGCAGCTGTTTATCTGCCAGTTCCCCGTTCATTTTGGTTGAGGGCTGCTCTGGAGGGCAGAGTTAACACTCTGGAACTTGCTGGTGTCCTCTCAGTATGGGCTCGATGTGCTCTTGCAACCACTAGAAGAGACCTTTGGCAGAGAGTCACATGTGCTCATAGTGAGAAGGCTTCGGTATATAGAAACAAGAGTCAAAGGTTTGTCAGTGGAATGCTCTCAGAGTCCAGGATCATAGAAAGTCGGTGCAGGACAGGACTTTGAAACCATCCATAAAGCTCTCAGGTTTCAAAGGAGGGTCAGAATGAGGATCTGTCCGTGGATTTCCCCCTCCTCCTCTATGAGACTCACCTGCTGCCTGGAAAAGTGGGGGTAGTGGACATGGTAAAGACCCTGGCCCATCCCTGCCCAGGGCATCAGCACTGCCCACCCCTGCAGCTCATCCTGGGGGCTTTTGTTCAGTTTACCCCACGCCTCACACCGAGATTCTGTTATCCTCATTAGACTCAACTCACTGAAAATGCTGAATTTCTGACCTGCCTGAGCTTTGGCTGGTGAAGATTATCAGGAGAATGATGGCTCAGATAATGGTTTTTAAACCTTTTTTTAGCCACAGAACACTTTTCCTTAAACTGAAATGTTGGCAAAGACCAACGTATAAAAGGTAAAGACAGAGAAGCTGTGGTTGTAGATGGAGCTAGAGTCAGGAGTGGAGATTGAAGACCCTCTGTCCACTGCTCGGTGCTCCTCAGGAACTTGGGTGACCGGTTCTACAGTTTGCCTGGGACTTTCCCAGGTTTAGCACTGAGAATCCCCAGTCCCAGGAATCCCCTCAGTCCTGGGCAAGCCCTATCAGGAGGATAATTTGAAAACTCCTGCATGAGATGATGCACAAAATGCTGGCTTCTAGGAATGGCAGGAAAAGGTGATGCGTATCAGTAGATGTTTCCATGACCATCACCACCTCAAGCCATCTGGGTGTCCTCTACAGTGTTTGGGGACTGGTAAAAAAAAAAAAAAAAAAAGATACCCACTGGCATCTGAACAGTCAGCATGTCTAGAACATTCCATTCACATGAGAGGATAGAGAGGGAAACAGTGCTTGAGGCCTTCAGTCTTTATTCAGAGACTAAGAGTTTTTGTTTTTGCTTTAAATTACTTAATAAATCGAAATCTAATTCACATATAAAATTCACCCTTTTAAAGTATATAATTCAGTGGCTTTTAGTACAGCGTACAAAGTTATGCAGCCATCCTAATTCCAGAACACTTTTACCACCCCAAGAGAAACCTGGTGCCCATCAGCAGTTACTCCGCGTTCTCCCCTCTCCCCAGCCCTTGGAAATCATTCATGTACTTTTTGTCTTTATGAGTTTGCCTATGCTGGACATTTTATATAGATGGAATCATAAACTCTGTGGCCTTTTGTGCCTGGCTCCTTTCACTTACTGTAATGTTTTCAAGGTTCATCCGTGTTGTAGTGAGTATCAGTCCTTCATTCCTTTTTAGGGGTGAATGAGATTCCATTGCGTGGATATACCACATTTTGTTTATCCATTCATCAGTTGATGGATATTTGGGTTGTTCCCTTTTTTAGCTATTGTGGATAATGCTGTGAACATATGTATACAGTTTTTGAGTAAACAATTCTCTTGGGTTTATACGTTGGAGTGGAATTGCTGGGTCATCAATAAATGGCAGCTGCTGCTATGACCACTATTGTCAGCCCCTCTGCTAATGATGAGAGGTTTTGCAGCACCACTTGGATGCAGAGCCCAGTCCCTGATTCTGAAGGGCTCTGATTCTGTTAAGCTCAGGGGTGGGTGCTTGCTTCCTCTGCTGCTCCAGCCCTGCCCCGGGCTCTGTCCCACTGGTGCTGCATTTTAGTGGGTTCAGTTGGCAGAGCGAGGCCTGGCCTTGGGGGTGGTTTGCTCCTTCTGTTTTCACTTCACCTGCCATGGGAACAGGGAGGCTGGTGGCTGCTGCTACAAATTCCCCAGTGTGCTTTTAAGACATGAATGTGCTGCTGGTTGTCAGCTGTCTCAGGGCCACTGGTCTGGTTGGAAAGCCCTGGCTTTGACATCTGCTGCCTGGGAACTGAGCCCAGAAGCAGACAGTCTGGTTTTCCTGCCTACTCCAGACCCCAGGAGATCCCCAACACAGACTTAGTCACCAAGCTTCTTTTTTATACCTTGTGTTGTCTAGGTGCTGCCAGCCCCAGAGCACTGGAGCTCACCATTTCTGGGCACTGGTTCACCAAAGACACACTGGACACATTGAAGGATTCAGTGGTTCACTGAAGTTTTCATTCAGTAAATCCTTATCTCTCACCTATTTTATTCTGTGTACTGTGCTAGACACTGTGGCATGATGGAGGCTCCAGTGACACTCTTTGTCCCCATTTAGTATGGAATTGTGTGCAGGTAAATATGGTCCCTAATACACTTCTCATTTGGAAATTGGTGTGCTAGAGGAAAAATGACAGAAAAAAAAAGGAACCCAGACTAGCTCCCTAATCAAGCACCTCTCCCACTTCAGTGAGCCCATGAATTATCTGGAGATCTTGTTAAAATGTGGGCTCTGATTCAGGAGGTCTGGAGTGGGCCCAAGGTTTCAAATTTCTGATAAGCTCCAAGGTCTGCTGTGCTTCAGGCCCATGGGCCCCACTTTGAGTGACAGGGTTCTAAACTGTGGTTCTCAGCCTGACTGCACATGAGCATCACCTGGGGGAGCTTTTAAAAAATACCAGTGCCATGGGTCCTTGGATCCTACCCCAGACCCAATTATAAATCAGAATCAGAATTCTCACCAAAACTCGTTTGGGAATGTTCATAGCATTATTCTTTATTCATAATAATTAAAAATTGGACACAACCCAAATGTTTCCACATTGGGATAAATGTGGAATGGTTGAAAGAAATGATGGTGAATGGATAAAAGAAATGTGGTATATCCATACAATAGAATATTATTAAGCCATGAAAATGAATGAAGTACTGACACATGCTACAACATGGATGAGCCTTGAAAACACAATGCTAAGTGAAAGAAGCCAGACACAAAATACCACATATTGTATGGTTCCATGTATATGAAATGTAGATTAATGGTTGCCTAGGGCTGGAGGTGGGGGAAATGGGCAATGACTACCAGTGGGTACAGGGAGTTTCTTTTGTGGGATGAAAATGTTTTAGTATTAGATAGTGGTGGTTAGTTTTTTTGGATCAATTTTTTAAACTTTGTGAATTACATTAAACACCACTGAAGTGTACAATCTAAAAGGGTAAACTTTATGGTATGTAAATCATATCTCAATAAAGAAATCCAAATCTGGGACGAAGGGTCTAGTTACTGGTGGTGATAACTGTTTCCCAGGTATTGCTGGGGTGCAGCCAAGGACTTAAAACTTTGCTCTAGTCCAGTGATTCTCCAGGTAGGGTCCCTGGACCAGCATCAGCACTCTCGGGAATTTGTTGGAAATGCAGATTCTTGGGCCCTTCCCCAGTCTGACTGAATCAGAAACTTGTGTTTTAAAGAGACTTCCAGGTGATTCTGATGCTCACTGAAGTTTGAGAGCCTGTATGGCTAAAGCATTACTTTAGAAATACTGAAATCAGACAGACTTGGGTTTGTAGCCTGGTTCCTACAGCTTCTATCATGTGACGGTGGTTAAGTGACTTAACACCTCTGTGCCCCAGTTTCTGCATGTAAGTATTTGGATTGCTTCCTCCCAGGAGAGACCTGTGAAGACGAAATGAATTAGTGCATTTAAGGTGCTATGGGTGGCACATGACCCGTAGTAAAAGCTCAATAATAACAAATGCTGTTATTGTTATGATGACTCCAGAAGCTCTAAACCCTGATTTCAATGAGAGATCGTGTGGTTAATTCTAGAGATTGCCTTGTGGAGTACCACTTAGTATCCCCCTACCACCTAAACTGAACCCTGTCTCCAGTCCTTGGAACAGCAGGTGTTGGGGGAGACATTGGAGGTGGGTGCAAGGAGGCATGCTCCTGCAGAGACCCCCTGGATTTCTCTGTGAGGCCAGGTGTTAGAGCGTAGTCCAGCTTCTGTGCTGGGATTCTGATGGGGAGTTGGAGGTGTAAGTGGGAGATGGCAGGCGGGAAAGAAGGCAGAGGCTGGAGGGGATTTTGTCTTCTAACTAGGTCATGAATGCATTGCTTTTGGTGATGAGAAGACTCTTTCCTGGGCTTACTGTTGATGGGAGAGCCTGCTAAACAGAGCCTGGAACATTCTGGCTAGAGCTAGAGCTCTTTTATTTGCTTTCAGTGTTTCCCTGGAACCTTCATGATTTGGAGAATTGGCTTTAGTAACTTGATAGTGAGAAGGCAATGAAGAGGTTTTGAGAGTGGTGTTAGGGAGGGAAACTATTGTATAACGAACAGGTACTACTCTAGGTGCTTTCAAATCATTTACTCTCGTGTAACCCTCCTCAGTCCTATGAAGCAGGCATTATGACACCCTCCCCTTTAAAAAATACATGGAGAAACTGAGGCTCAGAAAAGCTATATGACATGACCAGGGTCACAGAATCAGAGGCAGGTGGGAATCTGGGCCACTGTTCTTTCAGGTGAAATGTTATCTCTTGGGTCATTGGAGAAGAATTTGGGGACTCAGAGGTTCTCAAATGCAGGTGGGCTGCCTTGGAATCACCTCGGGATGCTTGGTTAAAATACAAGCCCCTGTGCAGCCCTACTGAATCAGAATCTCTAATGATCAAGCCTGAGAACCTGTGTTTTTAACACCTCCTCCAGGTGTGGCTGATGCCTGGCCAGGCCTGGGAATTGGTGCACTGGACTTCTGTGCCTTAGACTGGCCACTGTTCTTTCTCCTTCCCATTTGCCTCCCTCCTGTGGTCTTTGTTTCCCTATTCCCAGTGGGATTATGTTCCAGTTCTCAGAATACACTCCCCTGTTAAAATTTTATTAAAATCCCAACTGAGATATTCTAGGAGTTCACCTGGACGTTTGGGAGGACAGGCCATTGGTAGTGATGCTCCTGGGAGAGTGTCTTGGAGCAGGTTGAATGACATGGATGAGCATCGGGGGAATCAGCTGCCAAGTGTTCCTTTCTCTCTCTCCTCCTGAGCAGACAGCTGCTGGCTTTCTCTGTGAAGTGTGTCTTTTGACCTGTTGTTCCCAAGTCACTCTCAGAGTGTTCTGTGGTGGCAGCACAGTGCCAAGGCCCGTCCCCAAGAGGCCAGTCTGGGTGTAAGGAGACAGCACGGCCTGTTCATGGGACCTGGGTGGGCCAGAGTGGGGGCTGACCCAGTGACAGAGAGCTGCCACTTCTCCCTGGCCGGGAGGTTGAGTTTAAATACAGGCCAGCTTCCAGTGTCATTTCTGTAAAGTGGGCACAGCGCTGATTTTGATATGGATCTCATATGTCCCTCTGGGTCATCTGGGGCTGTTTACAGAGGTGCACAGGGTGGGGGTGGGCGGATTCTTTGCAAAAGACTTACCGTGGCTTTCCATTTTTCTTTGGATGAAGATCAAAATCCTTAACAAGGAAAACTGAAGGTCAGGTCCTGCAAAACTGGACTCTGGCTCTCTCTACAGGCTCGCCTTGTTCCTCTCTGTACATCTATACATTCGCTCTTCTTTTTTCATTAGGAAAAAAATGTGCGTGTATGTGTAATTATAATGATAACATGGGAAAATGCATATGAGGTCTTAGTTCCTTGAGAGCTCGAGCTGAGGGCTTTTGTGCCTGCTGACACTTCTGCCGGGTACACCCATCACCACCCACCACCGTCCCCTGCTTAACAGCTGCCCAGCCTTGGACCTCAGCTCAGAGGTCGCTTCCTCAGGACACTTTTCCGGCCCCCAGACCACATCAGCTGTGCCCACCCCCACCCCCATTGTATCTTTTTCTCCATAGCTCCACAGCTTGTAATTTACATTTATTTGCATGGTTACTAGATTAATGTCCATTTCCTCTCTAGACCTTACACCCCACAAGTGCAGAGACCCCACACTTAGCTTGGTGCGTGGAGCTGGGTCCGCACTCGGTTAATAATTGCCGAGTGAATGAAAGAAGCTTGATGAGGCTGGGGGGTGGGGTCACTGCCTGCCCTGAAGCTTCTAGCCACAGCCTTGTCTTTGCTGAGAATTCTGTGGAGTATATCGTTCTGTGTGTGTGTATTTAAAATTTTGTGACTACCAGTATTGTAAATGATCCTGAACTTGGGGAGACCTGTTCTTTCTAACTTGTTGGATTTAATTGCATAAGGCTTGAAGTGACTGCTGCAGAGGAATCCTCAGCTGTCACAGTGATTTAGTGCCCTGTGCGCGGTCTCCAGGCAGCCCATGTTTTAGACAGTTTTTCGGAGTGTTGCTGTTCGGTACTTATTTACGAGTATGGCTCAGAGGTGCTGAATCAGTGCTTGGCTGGGCTTCTTGTTCCTTGTGTTTCTTAGTCATATACCAGTGTGGGTTCTTTTAAAGGGCACTGGGTCATGGTGATACAGAAGCCAGCAACCATTCCCATGGCGACATGGCCCCTCGTTCCCTCGCTTGGGAAATACACAATAAGTGAGTTCTTTGTAGCACAATGAGTGACCCGTGTTGCCAGGAAGGAAACTGCTGGAATGTTGATACAAGCAAAGGCCACAAAGTGCCCCCAGCACCAGTGAATTTAACAATGCCATGTCCCAAAATTCCATCCTCTCCCTATATTTCCATTAGAAACTGGGGAAGAATGCTTTCTGATTGTCAGTATCGCGTAGTCCTGTTGCAGATCGTGACCTGGTAACAGATTATGAAACCAAATGTGTGGGTCATAACCAGCATTTAAAACAATGAAAGGGAATAGCATAGAAAATATCAGATGGCAATACACATAGTGAAAGTAACTATTCTTTTGTGAAACTTTTCTTTCCGTTCCTGTGCATGCATGCTGCACAATATAAAATGCATTTCTTTCTTGCTGTTGAAAATATCTGATTACCATAGTTCTAACAGCATGTCTCACTTGGACTTTGCTTCTTCTTGAAGGTATGCAAAATCCAGTCAGATCAAGACGGTGTCAAGCAGCAAGATATTTTTCAAAGGAAGTAGATTTCGATATAGGTGGGTGCCTGTGGTTCCATTTCCGTGATGGGATGAGAGTGGGGCAGGTATTTACACCTGACTGTTTTGATTGTCAACAAGTGAAGCGCACCTTGGCTTGTGCCCGTGCTGCCTTCCATTTCCACGCCATTGACCTCTTGTGCTCACGGGGCACCCTGCACACTCCACAGTCACTACCGCTCATGGAAGAGGAGAAGGAGCGGATTCTTATAGCTGGGTCAGACTGCTGTGAAGTTACAAAAAAAGTGATGTGTGTGCACACCCCTCCCCTTCTGCTGAGTGTCTGTGCACGTACATTGTGATTCTGTCTTTTGCAGTGGGAAAGTGGCCAAAGAGGTGGTGGAGGCGAGCTCCAAAATCCAGAGGGAGCCTCCCGAGGTGCACAGGTGAGTGAGTGCTCCCTGGGGGTTTCAAATGTCTTCTGAGATGGCCAGAGGTTGTTCAAAGCTGGCTTTTCCTAATTCTGTACATAGTGACTGTGCATAGTGACATCGGCATTAAATAAGGATACTCTCACCTCCCCAGAATCTCCCTCAGACAGATTTGGCTAGGCCATGGCGTGAGTGCAGCTGGGCTCTGTTTTGAGTTTTTTGCCCCATGGAGAGAGTCACTGATTAGGTCTGGAGAGTCACGTGAACGAGACCGTGTGTGAGGGACGGCTGTACCATCTCCTGGCCCACCTCTGTCGACCCGTTCTCTTAGAACTGCTCTCTGTTCCCGCGGCCGCTCGCGGGCTTGGCCAGGTCCGTGGGCCTGACTCCTCCTGGGCTCTTTCACACGAGGGCAGAGGCTCACCTCTCCCCAGGCCCTTTACTCAGAGGAATGAAGGGCTGAGTCATGATGGGTTCAAGGGTGCACATCTTCATTAAGGTGGCACTAGATGGTAATTCTTAGGAATCAAGTATTCTCTTGGCCGTGTTGGACTTCATCCCACCACAGTTTACACAAATCATTGTACATCTGAAACCTCAAGTATGCTAAAGATCTAAAGCTGAACGTCACATCATGGACATCCCTGTTTTTAAGGCAAGGTCATCGTAAGCTAAATTCTTTAGGAAGTCCCCCCACACTGATTGGCACCTGTCCTTCCCCATCTTTGAAACCCAGAGGTGTGTCCTTTATGCTTCGATCTGTCCAATCTCCTCCATTTGGAGGATGACCGAGTGAATTGGATACCGCTTCACCCTGTCCGTTGGGGTTGTTGATCAGGGGGAGGCCGTGGTCCCACAGAAGTGTGGCTAAGCCAGCCTGGGGGGGTCTGGACTTCTGTCCCACATAGGATCTTTGAAACCCAGAGGTGTGTCCTTTATGCTTCGATCTGTCCAATCTCCTCCATTTGGAGGATGACCGAGTGAATTGGGTACCGCTTCACCCTGTCCGTTGGGGTTGTTGATCAGGGGGAGGCTGTGGTCCCACAGAAGTGTGGCTAAGCCAGCCTGGGGGGGTCTGGACTTCTGTCCCACATAGGAGAGCAGAAGCACGGTCAGCAGGAGATCCCACACAGAAGTAGACTGAGAATAATTCATTCCTGCTTTTGGGCGACTGGTGGGAGCTGTTATATACAGAAACCAGTCTCTCCTGCTTTAAACTGCAGGGCAAGGGGAGCTAGAGCACCTTGGCTGGGTGCGATACCTTCAAGTCTTACCGCCTGCCTGTCAGTGAGAAGAGTCTTTTTATGGTCCCCTCCCGTGCCCCAGAGCGGGTTATTCAGTGCCACGGAAATGGGGAGGAAACTATAAAACATATTTCAACTCTTCCGTAATCTCTGGGCTGGAGATGACCTCAGGGATCATCTTGTTTGATGTTTCTCTTTTTTTTTTTGACCGGTAAGGGGACTGTAACCCTTGGCTCGGTGTCGTCCACACCACGCTCAGCCAGTGAGCGCACCGGCCATCCCTATAGAGGATCTGAACCTGTGGCCTCAGCGCTACCAGCGCCGCACTCTCCCGAGTGAGCCGCGGGGCCGACCCAATACTTCTCCTTTATAGACAAGGAAACTTGAGTCTTGGACAAGTTAAGTGATTTATCCAAGGTCCTAAATTCTTTTGGTGGCAGACCTAAGCCTTGAACTCCATTGTCCTGCTTCTGAGTCCTGAGCTCTTTCTCTCTTGCACCCTGAAAGCCTGTGGTAACTCTGAGAAGCTGGTAGTAGAGGCTGATCTGCCCCAAGTAACTCAGCTTGGGTTTTATTCTTCTAGTTTGATGCTTGAGTATTTGATCTCTGTAAAAAGACATACTCAATGCCGAGGAGTTCTCCTGATGGTACAAACACAAAGCAGGAAACTTTTTTAATGATATATTTTCAGAGAGACATAGTCCCAAAATATCCAAGAGTTTCACAGTTACCATCTATGGGTAGTTAATGAGATCAGAAAAGAATCTTTAAAAATAGTTATCTTTTAAGTTAAGGTTTGTATAATTTATGGGAATCAAGGCTTCTCAAACAGTAACTTGTGCAGGGGTCACCTGGAGATCCTGTTAAAATCAGATTCTGGTTCAAGAAGCCTGGAGTGATACTCCAGAGTCTGCATTTTTGAGGAGCTCCCAGGTGATGGCCACATAGCTGGTCCCTGGAACACACTTTGAGTAGCCAGGCTCTCCAAACAGGTGGTGGAGGAGTCAGGGGAGGAGGTTGGCCAGAGTGGAAAGCTTTCCCTGGAGTGAACTGAACCACCAGAGGGGGAGGGACATGGACACATGCTGTGGTATCAATCAATTCATAGTTTCCCTTTACTGGAATCTTCTAAAAACCCCCAAGATATTGCTGCAAACAGGGACCTAGAGGCCATTAAGACCTGGTTTACATGCTCTTTCTTTCTCTTGCACCACCCCTTCCACGTGTATGTGGAAGACTATTGAGTTCAGTCCTCAGGACGCCTCTGTGCTCCTTGGTTCTTTGGTGGCATCTCTCAAATCTCTGACAGTACCGGGAAGAATTTGGTGAAAGTAACGATACAGGGAAAGCCCTGGGAGGAAGGGCTGTGTCTGTCTTGTTCGTCTCCATGTCCCCAGCACCTAATGCAGTGCTTGGCACATAGAGGTCAGTATATGTTGGTTGAATGAATGTGCGAAGTAGGCGTGGGGGGACAGCAGACCCTATGTTGTCTTCTTAGATCTGAGACCTGTGCTGGCTGCTCTCTGGGACCCCCACCTCCCAGAGGTGGCATGGGGTTAGAGCCACAGTGACGGGTGACTCTTCCGCACTGGCCACTTCTCCTCCCTTCCCAGCAGCCAGTTGCATGGTAGAAAGTGGTTTCTCTGGAAGTTATTTTATTTTTGAATTATTTTGGCTTCTTTGATATGGCTGTCAAAAGTGAGAGTGTAATAACGAGGTTTCCTTCTCTGGTGGCTCTAGATGACTGTTAGTCCAGAATGGTGATGATGAGGCTTCAATTATCTATCTTTCCTCACACCTGAGATTCTGCACTTCAGAGAGCGATAAGTTTGCAGGCTCCTCATTCTGACAAGATGTGTGTGTGTGCGTGTGTGCGCGCACGTGTGTGCATCTGTGTCTCTGTGTGTGTGCATGTGCGTGTCTGTGTGTGCATGTGTGTGTGTGTGCACATGCTCTCTGCGCACATGTGTGCGCACCTGTGTCTCTGTGTGTGTGTGCGTGTCTGTGCGTGTGTGTGTGCGTGTGCGCGCCTGTGTCTCTGTGTGTGTGTGTGCGTGTGTGTCTGTGTGTGTGTGCACACGTGTGTGTGTGTAGAGAGACATAGACAGACTGAGAACACTGTCTTGGAATTTTTCTTTTTCTTTGAAAAGAGGAGCAGGAGTTGACTCAGATGTTAGCTCACTGGTCTTTACTGATGACAAAGATTCCCATGCAAAGCCCTCCCAGGCTGGCTACAGGGTGAGAATCACCCACTATCCCAGAGGCTCAGTGAAGCTGAGGGCTGCCACTCAGTAAGCTCAGGGCTGGTTGTGAAAGCCACCTGGGCATAGTGGCCCCCCGGGGACATTCAGAGGCAGCACCTGTGTAGGAGTCATGAATGGACGCTGATCTTGGCAGCATTGCTTGCCAGCTGTGTGGCCTTGGGTGAGTCACTTAACTTCTTGCATCATTGGTTTATTAATCTATAATATGAGATTTCTAACATTGCTTTGCACACCGTCTAGGTTTTGTTATGGGGATTAAAGTGAGGTGCTTTAAAAATCGTAGAGTGCCACACAAACGTGAGATGGTGACATTATCACTATCACCTCTCATCCAAGAATGGGAAGCCAGAATCTGACAGATAGGTTCCCATTAAAATCCCTTTTTAGAGGCTCGATAACAGGCCTGCTCTACTTTCTCTCATTTCAAAGAGTGGGGCAGGAACTCCACAAGCCTTGTTTTAGTTGCTGTATTTTATATGCCATTATTTTTGAGTCCCAAATCTGCCTATATAAGCATCTTTAGTCAAATCACAAAACCTCAGTTTCCTCAACTGTAAATATGTTATTTTTCTTGCCTGTCTTCCAAGCACATTGAGGAAAACAAATCGGGTAAAGTGTATACAGTCCACATTTGCCAGCATTAGAATATACTTGCAGTTCCCAGAGGAAACCTTTCTGCCTCAGTAGAGTTCTTAATGATGGTTTCATGTGGAGACTGTTCTGTGCTGGAAGTACATGCATAAGTGGGCTGCAAAACGGGTCAGGCACTTTTGCAGAGTCAGCTGATCAATGGAGTCTGAGGGTGGAGAGACATGGCTCATGTCCTAGCCTGGCCTGGGGAGACCCCAGGCGCAGAAGCAGGGACCTCAGGAATTCAGGAAGGGCAGAGTGGAAGCCAATTGGGACATCGACACATACTTCAGAAAAGTACCTTACAGAGTGGGACCTCATCCAGCCACAAACAGCAGGACCTTAGGGGTAGTGAAGAGTCCCCTTTGGGATGTGCGGGCTAAAGGGTGCAGAAAGGCAGGGTGGAGCACAGCACAAGCACTGGAATAGGGATCAGAGGGTCTGGCTCTGAGTCCTCGTCCACACATGTAAGTGTCAATAGTCAAGTTACATAACCTCACCAAGTCTGTTTCCTCATCTGTAAATGTGGTATTTACCTTGCCTGTTTTACAGGCATGTTGAGAAAAAAATGAGGTAAAGTATATACAGACCATTTTGAAAACTAAAAAAGCACCATTCAAATGCTGGTAATGTATATTTTATTAGAACAGCTACACTGCTGGGCTCTTGCTTTGATGAAGCCTGGATCAGCTGGCACCTGTAAAAAGGTCACGGGAGAGAATGAGGTAAAAAGGAGTAATCTTTAGTCTCAGGGAGTTGGTAGGTGTCTTAGACCATTTGGGCTGCTGTGAACAAATACCATGAACTGGGCAGCTTATAAACAATAGAAATTTATTTGGGAAGTCCAAAATAGAAGTGCCGGCAGAGTGGCATCTGG